TGGTAAAACTGGAAAGTGAGAAAGCAAGCTGAGCAAATCCAAAAGGACCCCTATGATTCCAAGGGTTACACACACACACATCGTCTAAATCAGTTGTGAGAAATCCCAAGGACGGGAAGGACGGGGTAGCGAGCAACCGTTGACACAATTGCATCGTGAACTGGTCTGGCACCCCAGGTTCCAGCATTCTCTGGCACATTGCTAGTCCCTCAACACTGCCTCTCATAGAGAATTCAAGTGCTTGTCTTGCAAGTTGCAAGTTGCAAGTGTGCTTTCTGAATCTTTCTGAAAGAAAGTGCACTCAGTGCACTCATTTCCTTGTACCTTCATTTCCTTCAGAAAGCAGGGGGTGGAACTGCGTCGGTGCTGACCCTCGGCTTCGGACCCAGAAGTTCAGGAGCCGGGCGACGACCTGAACGGCTTCGGTCGCCGGGCTTCGCCCCACAGTGCCACAGGGGTCAGGTGGTGAACATGATGCGAAGAATGAATTATTGCTCTGATCTCTTGACGCGAAGGGTTGCATGCTGGGTTGTAGAAGGTTGCATGTCCACCAGCCAACGCCTGGCAGGTTTAATGGACTGCGGAGCTGACCAATAGCTAGCAGCATCTAGAGGCTAACAGCTCACAGACCATTTTGCGTCCATTTCGTAATAGTAACAAGTGCCTCGCTAGTAGTAACAAGTGCCTTACTCGTAGTAACAAAAAGTTTCACCTCTTCCAGCTCACTCATCGTTTCACTCGAGGGAATCACCGGATGAGCACCACCCAGGGGCAGCACCTCGGTCGACGAACGGAAGGTCTTTCGACTTTCAACATGCTTCGAACGGTTGGAGGCCATCGCTATTAGGAACAAGAACGCTACTAGGAGCATCGCTATTAGGGGCTCCTGGCATCGCTACTAGGAGCAAGGACCCTACTAGGGGCTCCTGGCCTACTAGGAGCAAGTAGCTTCTAGGTTGGAGGCCATCGCTAATGAAACAAGAAAAGAAAGAAAGATCTAATATAGAGTCCCTTGCTACCGACAGTTAAGGTAGATCCCCAACATTTTACGTATTAAAATCCTACCGAACCAAGGTGACTTTCTAGTTTTTCAGTGGTGCCCTAGGTGTTTTTTTCTCAAGAGTTGTTTTTGGAGAAATCCTATGGACCAACGTGCCCCAAAGGGTTGGGAACCAAGGGAAAGGAGTCGGGGCTGATCAAATGCTTTATTAAATCCTGGGTATCTACCTTAGCTGGTCGCTCCAGTGCCCTCATCAGCCGTGTGTTTCTATCAGCCGAGCAAAGAGTGTAAGCAAATGCTGCAATGAACGGAATTGACGACAAACACAGCCACAGCAAAAAGGTTGACAAAAACTGTCCACGAAAAGCGTCCTCTCCAGTATCTCTAACTTGTGAAATCCTGCAGCTTTAGTGAAATCCTGTAGTCTAACGTGTTTTTGGAATCCTGGCGCCTACGTGTCTTGATACCTTGGGCACCAGGATTTTTCAAAGCCCCATTTCTGCTGTAATTTCCTGGGGCCCTACCTGACGTCCTTTTTTTTAATAATGAACTTACTTCTTTCTGAGACCTGGTGGTCTGCCCCTAGGATTTCAGTATGGCGCAGGCAAGGTCTATAATATAGTTTGCTTCTAACTCGTTGATTCCCTCAGTTTGATTCTGAACGTCCCGCTGATCCCCAGCGACCCTTCCAAATTAGGTCACCAAACCCCTTGCGTGAGCAACATCACCTGCTCCGGCTTCATATCGGCTCCTTTCAAAACCTCAGCATGCTTTGGGCCATGCTACTACCCCGTGCAACGAGTCACGTGCAACACAAACAGGAAAGGGCTGACTGGATGCATGTTTGTCATGATTTTGTTACCACAACATATAGCTTAGTTTTGCTGTTGACACACTGGGCTGAACGTATGGACAAACGTGGATTGGAATAAATGTGCATGGTGCTGCATGTCGACAGCATCATTAAAACAACATCGGGGAAGTTGTCAACTGGAGCAAACACAATATGGTTTCTGTTTGTTTTACAATTTTTCCGCAGATCTTCTACAGCCTGCAGGCAGCTTGACTGATTGGCACATGGCAAACAAACATGCTCACCATGTTTGTCAGCCAGCATCGTCTATATACAAGTGCAAGCACCAGGTTTCAGAAGGGATGGATGCAAACAAAGCTATCTGAACGAGTGGCATCATGCGACATCGTTATGGCGCTCTGGAGTTGGGTCGAGGCACCATCATCTCCAAAAATAGAAGCGGCACGCATGATGGTGAAGGAATCAAAGGAGTTTGTGTGTTCCTTTTTTTTGTATATATTGTAATTCATCACTGTATTTTTTGGATCGTGTGGTGTAACAGGTGCTTCTATGCTATCTGTTCACCTCGTCGTATTTACGCCTTGTGATTGATAAGGCAGTCACAAAATGACACAAAGATGACCATCCCTTCCAAAGCCAGGGATCACAATAGCATCCCGAGAAATGAAACCTGAACATGTTCTAGAATAGCGGCCTTGCACATAGAATGCTATTCATTAAATCGGAACTCAACGATGTGCATGTCAAAGGGGTGAGTCAGATTTAGGGAAAACATGTGCAAATAGAATACAGGGACGCACATTGAATATTGATATTCCGATTTGACATGGATGAAGGACCATTGATATCCCGACCCGTAACGTTTGGCTCTTCAGCGCTCTAGACATCTAGATGGCCATGGATACAAACACATCGGGATTGCGAGGGAAAAAGGCTGCTTGTTGAACGTTCTGATAACTGCACAACATATTCTAACTACAAACTTTTCACACCTACCCTAATGCGCTTTTGAATATTCTATTTGATTATATTTGATTCTAAGTGCATGTATATAATGTTGGGATATTCCAACTGCAAGCCCGCTATGATACGACATTGCTGCCAATGGGAGCAATCCGGCAACGAGTTGCCTAGTGATCGTGTCAGCTTCAAGGAATCCCCAAACGGCCAAAAAGCGAACATGGATGACCCGAGTGGAGCACAGGCCAGTGATGTCCCACCCGAACCTAATGTGGTTCATCCCTTCGGTCTTGCTGGAGACCCTTGAGTTTGAGACATGGCAGGCTTCGTTTGTTCGGGACGATCTCAGGTCTTTGGTAAGGCCAGCATCGGTTGCAAGGGCCTCAACTGCTCCAGGAGCAAAGCTTGCTCGCCTGCGCAAAAACGCATAAGGGACACCCAACACAGGAATGTGCAGCATGCCAACGTGTTATGCTCTTGCCCTTCTACGAGAAGAACATATTACCAAAAAAATATACTGTAGATATGGGTGTGTGTGTGTGTGTTTGTGCTTTTGAATGCTTTACCTAATTTTGAAGCAGTGATATCTTCACTCAAATCTGTTGGGGAGAGTCGTGGACCCTTCCAAGAAAAATTGCCATTGGTGGGTCATCCCCCCGACAAAAAACATAGAAAACCCTGCTTGACCGACGGCTCAAAAGTGCTAAAAGCGTCTAATGGCAAAAGCAACACTTTCGAACATCTTTTCCATCAGTTCACTGTGACATCTCCACCAGACTGCAGTCCGGCAGCCTGTGCCTATATGTGACAAATACATGTGAATCACACCCATTTAATCAAAGCAAGCTCGTATTCTATGCATGGGTGATTTGGTGGTTGGCATGCAGCCTCACAGGGGGACAACAGGGGTTGGGATTCAATGGCACAAGCCATGTTTCAAAGCGTGATCCCAACATATCAAAGCCCTGAGGAATTCTCTGTGAGCCCGGCTCCCTGAGAGACTCCAGGCCTTCTGCTTCCTTCACCTTGCCCTGCATTTGCCGGCAGAGTGCCAGCTGCACCGACAAATCACGCCGCAAGTTCTTTCGGCGTTGCTGCAGCAACGCAAGGGTCCGCACGGTCTCCTGCTCGAGTGCGGAGGGTGTTCGAGCATCGAAAAAGGGCAAAGAGTTTTCGACCAGCTCTGCTTCGCATGGAATACAGTGAAGCTTGTTACGTCTTGAGCATTGAAAGTTGAAGGCAATTGTAATGTCTTGAGCGGCACGATTGCCAAGCCACGGGATGCCACAAGTGACTGAATGTGGTTCATATGCCTTGTTATGATGGCAATAAACACTTTCATCACTAAAAACGGAAAATCCCTAAGTGACAACTTTGCCCCGCATGCCATCATTGAATCATTGCACTGTATTCCTTCAGAGTACCCATCTCGTCGCACCTCACTTGCGGCGCTGGAGATTGCACGCGGTGTGAGGGCTTCACGCTCTAAGACGCCGAGTTCATCCACCTTGGTTTCAAGGCATTGCCTCACATCTGGGAAGTGTCTTCCTCCGTTCCCCTTGCTGTATATGCACATGCAGGCTGCCGGCTCAAACTCAAGCCCCAGTGCCAACCACCCAATCACTGACCAATGTCAAACATAAATATTGACAATAGGCAAACTTGGTAGCCCCTCCCCATGGTGTGAAGGAATCTTTAATACATGACCTGGTCCACCAGGGCACGCATGGAAACACGCAACCCTGGGCTCTCAACCAAGCGTCCAAAGTATCGGTGCGCTCCTGCAAGCGGCTGGCCCACTGGTCCTCCTCCTTCACCCGCCGGTGCAAGAGCATCTGCTCCCGCCTGCACCGGCGACAAGAAACAACATGGTCCACTGTGCGACAAGGAGCGGGTGCGAGTTGCGGTACGTAGACCTCAGACCTCTGATGCTACTGCGGCTGGCAATATCGTGACATAATCAACCCACAACCACAAGGACTGTAGGGTAACCTTTGCAGTTCTGGTCATTGAACATACTTAACTGCAGGACCTTGGTCAAACATCGTGTGTCCTCTGCTGGTTCAGCGCAGCCCAAACAGCACCAAGCCAATCTTCCGCCTGGTCCTCTGCACCCAGAAGCTGCCAGCAAACCCGGGAACAAAACTTTGTCAGGCATAAGGCATACTTGACTACGAGTTACGAGGACAAAATGCTCGATACATATCGAACGCCTTCCATCTATATCTACTTGCAATGTGAGCATCAAATGCCTTGAGCAATGGGGTGAAGTGTTCTTGATTCATCATTAATTGTCATCATCTCCCCCCTCTCGACCGATCTTTCCTCAGGGGCAAACACAAAGAATCATACAGCTGAGCTCTTGGGCAAGTACACTGAGCGGGTGACATAAAAGCACCAGCCAACAGCGTCGTTTGATCTCCTTCGCTTTCCGCGCATCCTCACATCTCTGCGCCAAGCGCTCCAAAGATGTTCGCAAATCCGCAACGCAGCGTTGCGCGTTACGCTCCACATCGTCTGCCTCCGTCAGGATGAGACAATGAAGCGTACATTGGCCATGATTGGCCCATGTCTGGATTACAGAATGACAGGTTCAGAATCCTGTTCTCTACGCACTGGCCTCTGGAGCTTACAGCCTCACTGAAGCTGTGTTTGCAACCTGTTGCATGTTACTCAATCACCTTCCAAAGTGGTTGGCTCTTGTTTCTGCGAAACAAATGCCTGGCTAAATGCGCATGGAATCCACCCATACTGTGAGGCATGCTATCCCGTACAAGTAATTGAAAATCTGCCACTCAGCCTGTTCTTCAAGCTCCGATATCTCGCGTAACATTTCGCCCGAACTCATCTTGCCTTGGTGGCGTGCGACGGGAAGGGCTATACAAAGAGCCTGCCGCTGTCCCTTGAAACCGCTTGTATAAGGGAAATGTAACTGGCGTCTCGACCACTCTCCCCTCTCCATCAAATAGGCATGTCATCTTCTCAATGGGTGATGTGAACAGGGGTTCCACTGAGTGGCGCTTCTCCAGCAGCATCCGCTCTTCCAGCAGAAGCTGGCGAAGCTGAATCATCTCCTGTGCAGCCAGGAAATTGGGTTCGTGATGGTTCGTGTCCCATCAAGAAGTCAAACCATTTGGTCTAGTCTAGTCCGACCCTGACTGTGGAGCCTTCAATCAAAAACATCAAACACAAATGCCTGGCCTGAATGATATATAATTTACAGAGTTGGTGTAATCATTCTATAATCTATTTATTGCACTCAACATCATAACAACGACAACAAAATCATAACAAAATCATACACCATCCAAAGGAACCAGCTCTGAGAAGCCATCCATCACCCAGCCTCTCTTAGCTTTCGCACATATCTCTCCAAGACTCAGTTCTCTTGGAGATCTTGGAGGGACACTGTCACACCGTCTTCGCGTCGTTGCCGCATCGTGCCTGATGCTTCCGCAGGCGTTGCTGCAGATCGGTGCGCTCCACCAGGAGGTCCGAGGCCTCAACCTCTTCAGAACGAGCATTGGCCTCCTGGGAACTAGCATCGGTCGAGGCTTGGGCGGCAAAACGTATGCAGATGTTGCGCAGCTTTGGACAGGATCTTCACAAGTGACAATGGTCCAAATGGGTTTGCTGATGTGTATTCCAATGTATTCCAGTCCTTTGACTTCACTGACTCAGGCAAGCTTTTCTTGAGATTTCTCGAGGCTTGTATACTCAATTCTCTGCGAAGTTCGTGTACAGGCGGGCTTCATCCAGATTGAGTGAATTGAGCAACTGCTGTTTCCGTCATCACGTGCAGGGCGTTCTTTTCTGGTCCCAGGGGCAGGCTGGGCTTAAGATTTCTTAAATATGTATATTGGCAAGTCATGGCTAGTCCACATGGCTCAAGAGCCGCCAGTGCGCGCCCATTCGCCGTCCTGTTCGCGGATGGACGACCGGGTCAAAGCTGACTTAGCTTGCTGCTGCTCCAGCGATGCCAGCTGATTCGACAAGTGGGAAGCTTCCTGCTCGCTTTCCTGCAGCTCATGACGGCTTGGTCTGCACCTCTACAGCTTTTCAGGTGGAACTATTCGCAGCTGAACATGTTCTTCGTTCTTTGCCAAAAGGACATGCAGTCGGTGCATTCATTCTGCATAAGCATAATGTCATAAGAGATTGAGCGGCCAGATTCATTCCCATGAAACAGCTCGAAACACAAAGTTCCGCTCCTGAAATTTATTCAATACTCTGTTTACTGGTTGATTGTCATCTTGGGTAGTGCAGTGGGCGCTTTCATCTTTACGAAGACAGCCTTTGGCTGGAGAGGGGCGCTCTCCAACTTCTGCCTGCTTATAGTCGAAACATGTCGAAACCACAATGCATCGAAACGCCCCAGGCCTGCCAAGCCTTCTTCTTCATTTGAGCTTCCTTTTGTACTGCCTCGCGCTCCAAATCCAGCAGCCTCAGCCGGGCACCCGGCCATTGATCTCGCACAAGAACAATGAACAGCTGTGCTATGCCCCCCAAACAAAGGGCCATACTTGCCGTTTGCCGTTCACACTGCCATCTGCCGTCCAAGCAGCTCAGCGCGCCGTTGGCAGTCCCGACAGCGCTCAGCAAGGCCACTGGCTGCAGAGGTTCCACGCTTGATGGATTGAAGTTGACGCTTCACCAGGCTCAAGCGGAAGTCATTCCTCCGGAGTTGGAGACGGGGATCAAATGAAAAGTTGCAATCCAACATGATCTCGAGCTAGCATCTGCTCTAGCATTTGTGCAATATGTATATATATATAACCGTTACAAAAACAATCTTGAAAGTGAACGATTGAACAATTCTTGCGGAACTGTTTCGTGAGTTGACCGCACATCCAATAACATCATGTCTACTGCATTCTAAAACATAACATCTGAGTGACATTATATGCCTGCCTTCGCAGCGCTTCTGCTTGAGAGGCCTGAGCCTCCACAGCTTTCTGCTGCGCTTCTGCGGCAATGCTTCGGTGATGGTCCACCTCCTGATTGAAACGTCCACTGCAGGATCCACCTTGCTAGTCTCAAACACTAATTACACAACATGCGACCACACGACTAGCCCCACATTGCACGTCTGGACGTGCTAGTCGTGACCTGAAAGCGATGTATGAGTTCTCCAAGCATGAATCACGATCTGAAGCTCCTCCTGCAACTTGGCCACTTCATTCCGAAGCTGCTGCTCCGTCTGCTGCTGCCGTGCCAGGAACTCTGGATGCTCCTGGCCAGCTGCTCTAAACTCTAGATGGGTGTGTGAAGATAGGGGAACCTCCCAAAGACCAGCTGGAAGAAGGGAAATTGACCAAAACGAATTGGTATGGGGTCTCCCTCTCTCAACAGCTCCATCTCACCGTGACATGCTCACGGGATTGCTGAGCAACTTGCCTTCCCAATTCCGCAAGCAAGATTTAATGTCTCTTTTCACTTGGAGCGCCTTACGAAAGTGGATGGACGCGCGCAGGCCCCCCCAACCATAGCTGGATACCTAAGGTGACTGAGGTGAATCGTGATGCAGGCTCACGATGAACAGCTTCCCTATATACTGTAATGTAATGTAATATATAATTTGTAATTAATTGTATGTAATTTCGGTGGTTGGGTGTATCCCATTCCCTGTAACAGTGGATGATGATGGTTAGTAAAGGCCGTTCTCCAAAATAGTGATAATCTTTGGCCACAACGTATTAGGTTGGCTGAGCTCCAATGCTACCCACTCTATGGCCACCTGCCTGATGAGTGTTCGTTCTTTCAGCGCCATTTACTACTGAGGACCCGCCGAGTCTTGGGGATCCTTCGAGTTTTTTGTAGTTGTTTATAGATGGCACAAACCCCATGATGTCCTTTAGATGGGGGCCCATCTAAAGCTCCTTTTGGGGAGTGTGCCATCTATATACTCTGAAACCACTGTACATGCTTTCCTGAACCTCATGAGACTCATGCACAAGGCTGCGATGCTGCTGACATACAGGATTCTTATCGGATCTTCTCAACTGGGTCCACCATGAACACGACCGTACCACACTCCCCAGCCCGGCCCCGCCTGCCAGCTGCTCAGCTGATCATAGAGCTCTTCGTCAGTGAAGCCCCGAACCTCAGCTTCCACCCACGCTAGCAGACCGACAGTTTGCGATTTCACAAGCCTCTTGTAGGATCGTCTCGAACATCTGCTTGTCTAATTGCAGCTTCTTCTCCTGGCTAGATTCTCAGCATGTTGGGCCAATGCTGGGCATTTCCATTACTGTAGATTCTTTAGATAGCAGAACTGGTCATTCTGCGCACTGCATCGCACTGCAAGATGAGAATGCCCCTAGTGCAAGACAAAACAGACTCGTCACCTTGCCACGACCCGGCAAGCCGCATGGGCCCGGTGTCAGTAAGCCACTGGGCTCCTTGGAGAACGAAAAGGCACTCTGGTACTGTTTGACGTCGTTACATGCATGAGTGAACACTTTCAGCCATGCCTTAGCAGCATCATTCTTGTTTGTTGGCATCGATTGGAGCCTCTTTGACGCGTGGACCATGCCTTTTTTCCTGCATTCGCCATGCTTCCGGTGCAATGTTGAACCGATTTGGATTATCATGTTAGTGTTCATGTGCCGGAATTTTTGAAGCTCCATAGACACGGACTTGGAGTGCTGATGCCTTGAACACCAATCAACTTTGTCGCTGTTGTTTGCTCATCATATCTCGGATAGCACCATGATTCAACTAGTGATCACTGTTACAGCACTCTCTCAGCCAAACCACTTAGCGAACCCAGTATCACAGAATTAGTATATACGCCAGTTATTAAGAACCCAGTGGCTTCTATGTTGAGCCAAAAGCGTTTCCAGTGACCACTTTCCCTCTCAGTGGCTCCACTTCCCGGCAAAGGAGTGCCCCCAGGGCGTGGCCGTGGGCGCGCCAACATGTCGGGCAAGAATGCAAGCGCAGCTGGTCATGGGAGCCGGACTGGAACAGAAATGCGGAAGTGCTGCCAGTTCCGGATCGTGGCAGCCCTGAAAAGAACAGGGCACCTCCTTCAGAGTGTGAAGTTCAGCACTTCCCATTAAGTATGACTTTTACATAGGCGTGTGGCTGTCAGGTGTCCAAGTCTCTACCACTGACCTTTGTCGAACGAAAACGCACCTTGATGAACTGCATCACTTGAAATTGGCAAACTTACTGGCGAAACGGGAATATACTTATTTGTGAAACCGTCCAATGTCTAATGATCTTTTTAGTGTGTAGACAATCCGATGACTTGTGAGATCTAGTGAGCATGGGTGTCCTAGTAGATCTAGTTAGGCCAGGAGCCCCTAGTAGCGTCCTTGCACGGCTTGCGTGTGATGCTTTGATAATTGTTATTGTTTGAGCATTGGCTGCGTGCATCTGTTGAGCATGATCCACCGCAATGCCAGGTGTCCAATACCAATTTGCCCTGCTGGGCAGGTGGAGATATCTCCAAAAGCGTTGCAGGCTGCGAAGAAACACCCTTTCTGGAAATGGATTTCAGGGTATAGCTGCTGTGAAAATGAGAGCGATCAACAAGACTTGCAGGTTGGGAACCTGTAGACTTGTCACACAAGAAGACCATGCTCAGCTCCCTGGCTGCTTTGTGAGCTGCAGCTTCCAGCAGTTCCCGGCCTCTCTCACTGGGGGTGGGCTGGAACCGCGGAATTGCTGTGCTTCGAAAAGGCATTGGTTTCTAGGCTAAGTTCAGTAGGTTGAAAAGGGAGAGCGAGTCAATTATAAACCCGTTTCTTTTCTCCAAAAGGGTACGAACTAAATACTGTCAAAAATAGACTGGCTTTTATCAATAGGTTACGACCAGTCACCAGTCAGTTGTAAAACTACTGTCAACTAAAAAATGATTTTAATTGCACTAGGTCATATATATATACAATTTCAAACGACCAGCCAATTGCAAACTACTGGCAATAAAATTCAATAAACGCATACTTATACATTTCTTACGACCAGTCAATCATATACTAGTGATCACTAGTGTATATAAAACAGTTGTTCAATCAACGCACAATAGTAAACTTGACTTACTCCTCTACAACAATAAACCTTCTTGCTCCTGTACAATAGGCAAGCTCTTTCCGGCAAATCGTCAAACAACTGTTTGTTGATTAGTTAACTATTTGATTGAATATTGTCGTAGTTGTTTTATTACATCCATTCAAAAACACCAAACACAGTTTGACAGGGGTATCCCGTACGAGTGCCAAAGACATACACATATAGACTACTAACAATAAAACGTCCTTTTCATTCTAATTCCAACTGTCTCCTAAATTGCAATAATAAACCAAACATTCTCCCTCTCTCTCTACATAAACTGGGCTTTCTCCTGTACAACCAACAAACCTCTTTCCAGATTGAATTTATATGTATATAATTAATTTTTGAATTGCTTATTAATGTGGGTCAATTACGTTGTTTTTAAACGCTTCATTCGGCCGTGTGGTCTTGCCAGTAGACTACTTTGATCAACAAAAACATCCTAAGGTCTGATGTTTATCGTTGCGGATATATAGTTGATTTTTACGACGAACCTACTACATCTTACTCGGGGGGGTTACTATTGCGATGTGAACATTATTCAGCTGGGGTCCAACGAAGAAAGAAAACAAAAAACATCGGCCATGCATTGGTTCAAAAAGAGGTCAGGCGAGAAGGTGGAACTACAACTCAGAGCAACATAACCAAAATTCAGAGCAACATCTGAGAATCTTGACAGTGTGCCGCAGCAGCCCCAGCTGCCACCACCACCTGAAGCAACACTTTTTGAGCCAGGGTGAGTCACTCTAGTTAGAAATGTAATTTCTTGCATTAAGAGCCCGAGTGATACACCCTTTTTATGAATGTCCGATTGGGTCAGGTTGGAGCATGATGCACACCAGCCGTAGCATTCACACTGGTCAAACAACAACGCGCCAATTCTGCTCTGCACTTTGTTCGTCCACCCTCCCCGAAGCCTTCAAAAGCACCGTGGCGCTGAGGGCCGTGAGCCGCGGGGTCAAAACCTCCGTGACGCGGCCGAAGAGCCGCTTGGCACCAGGGCCTCGGGCCGAAGCCGGGTCTGTCACGACGCTGTCAACACCTACTAGCGATGGCCTCCTAAAAAGCGATGGCCTCCAACTTGAACCTAAAATGTACGTATATAAATATTACTATATATATATATATATGATACATGGTTTTTTGAAAATGCATGTTTAAGACACCCAACATCACCCAAGCAATGGATAGACTGGTCTATTTCCCTGACTTTCCAGGGGGTCTTTGGGAGGTCTCCCTAAAGTATAATATGAAACCAATTGCTCTGGGGACAAGTAGCGGTGGGTGCTTTTAATGTGGGGGTCATCGACGAGTTCCAAGAGGTTAGTGTCGATTGACATGTATCCGGTATCCGCATGTCCGGTCTTGCAATCTCATTTGGCTGGTTGATCTTGTAGGATCATTGGCATCAGGCATTGTTGGCAAGAAATGACTGCAAACAAACACACAGATCGCTTGTTGGCTGCCATTGGCCCTTGGATGTCCTTCGCCACATTTCGCCATCCATCTACTCGGTGAAAAACACCAAAAATCCTCCGCCGGGCTCTCGGGCTCTCCGCAGCACCGGAGGTGGCCACCACCAACATCAGCTCTGCTACGTCCTCCGCAGTCCTCGCAGCAATAAGCAGTGCTTCTTCCGACAAGCAGCCTGTAAGAAGTGCCAGCAAGCTCAACACGGGCAACAAACCAATTGTATACTGTGATGGCCATGCATAAACTTCAGCTGGCCGGGCTGGGCCCCCTGCCAACTTTCTAAACCTTGGCAAACCATCACATGTGTGGCAGTGGACGCCAGGACATGAAACGGAATGTCTCTGCTTCTCAGCTTCTCACTTTGAGCTGCGGCTCCAGCTACCTCACACGTGCCATGAAAGGTATTCAAAGCACAGTTGTTGTCCTTCAAAGGGAACTCAAGCTATCCTTGACTCCTGGCTGTTCAGTGAGCATATAACATCAAGACTCGATCTTTAAACTGACTGTGACATTGTCGTGTTGGGTCTTAGTTCTTTTGGACACAAAAATGGAAAGTTGTGACCGTGTTCTTTTGAATTTAGCCATCTCCGTCCTGCTTGAGGGACTGCCGACCACATTCTGCCGGCACAAGGGTCTTTTCCGTGATCTTCCGTGCACTCAGTGATTCACGAAATCTATCCAAATCTGTCTGTAAATCGTCAATCTTAGCTTAGTTTCTCGCGCCGTTCCCATCGACCTCTCCGGGCCAGGCCCTAAGGCCACCACTGGCCCTAAGGCCGTTTCAGCGATGCAAGGCGATCGTGTGGAAGCCGTGGCCAAACCTCGGAGCCGCGTTCCGTTCGTCCAACCATGTAGGAAGGTGTAGGACTTGGAGGAAGGGTCTGCTTCCCCAAACCGGTTTGGGTTCAGAACGGGTTTGGGGGGGGTCTGCTCTTCTTCAATCACGCACACACTATCTTATTGCTTACGTTATATAAGGCCCTTGCAATCTGTTGCAGAAATGTCATAGTATGCCAAAGGAAATCTCATAGCATGTTGAAAATGGCGTTTGGGCTACATATGGGGAGTTGCCGCTCAAATGGTTCTTTGGGCTGCCTCAGTATTCAGATTCTTTTGACCACTAGCTTGTCACAACATGTCACAACCCCTGAAAGTATTCTCAAAATAATATGAGCTAATGTAGATGGTGCATAGTCCCAGGTCTCACCCTTGAAAGGTTTCCTTATGCTTCCTTCCTGTCGTTTTCTTGGAGTTTTGCTGTGACTCGGCCCCCCAGCGCAAAAGCCGCGAGGGCGGCACGGCAGCCAGGCCGGGTCCGGCCACAGCGACCTGAAAACGAATCGAGAATCGACACGTTCAGTGTCCTGGATGGACCAACCAAAATCATCCACCAAATTCCAAGGTTCCGCCTGAATCTCATGAACAGTGTCAGTAGTCTGCAGAAAAGTCATCCAAAACCTTGTTTCTTCTCCGCACGCCATTGTATTTGTAGATATATAAAAAATACAATGTTTCTTGACTTTTCGGCCATCTCAGCTTGGCAAACCGTGAACAATTCTCTCCATTTTGATCAACCATCCCTCTCCCTCTCAGATGGCCTTGGCTTGCAAGGGCGGCCTTAGAAGCTCATCTTTGAGACCTGCGGGCGGGGTTTCTCCAGACTCGGACTCGAGCATGAGTGCCACGACTTCAGTCGCACTCCACCATGCATATTGCGCACATACGCCATCCCCTAGTCTGGCTTCCGCCATTTGGAAGCTTCCACAGGCTTCAACCAGCACCTTCATTCCCCTAGTGATCTCGGCATGCCTATAATATATACACACGATCAGTGCGCGTATGTGCCTTGCTCCCCAAGAGCTGCCACAATGCTGACCTAGTGCAAGCGGCTGGGAGATTCCTCTGCACATCTGACAACTGCAAAAATGCTGCAACCTCACCAAAACAATGCAAACACGTTTCCCTCTACAACTGAGGGTTTGGTCAGCTTCTCTGGGAGTGTGTTGACCCTGGCTACTAGTTTCTGCCTACGGGTGTAAAACCCAACGTGTGACTACTGCGATTTTTGAAGTTGATGCTACGTGAAAGGTGGGGGGGTTGGGTTGGGGTGGGATGGGGCATATTGACGTTCGTTTGCACTTGCTTTCTGAAAATGATGTGGGATGGGGCATACTGACGTTCGTTTGCACTTCACGATAAGTAATCTTCGGCTTCAAAGCATTGTCATCGGTTTCATAACATTGTCATCGTTTTCATAACATTGTCATCGGCTTGCCAACATTGTCATCGGTTTCATAACGTTGTCATCGATTAGTCGTGTGATTAAAATGGGGTGGGGGCAGGGGGGGGTTGTGATGGAATGAGGATGTGGATGTCATGCTGCGAACATTGTCATCGATTTCACAAAATAAGTAGTCTCCGGCTTCATAGCATTGTCATCGGTTTCATAACTTTGTCATCGTGTTCATAACATTGTCATCGGTTTGCCAACATTGTCATCGGCTTCACAACATTATCATCGACTAGTCGTGTGATTGAAATGGGGTGGGGGGGGTGTGATGGAATGAAGATGTGGATGTCATGCTGAGAACATTTTCATCGATTTCACAATACGTAACTTGAGAAAAGGGGGGTGGACGAAAGGTTGGTCGGCAGCAGCAGCAGCAGCACACCCAGCAGCAGACCACCAAGCAGCAGCAGCAGCATACCACTAATATGAAAAGAAGTTAATGATTCACCGTGACCCTTCTAATATGCATGAACAGCATCAACCCCCCCCCCCACACACACCACTATGTCAACATTGGGTGTCAGCCTTGCAAAGATTGCAAAGTAGTAGTGGCTGTGACGTTTGATATCCTTTGTCCACTCTCCCTACTGTTGACCGTAGCTCTTGTTGATTAACATGGCTGAGTTGGCTGAAGAGCTTTTCTGACGAATCTTGGGTCCATCCAACGCACTCCGCCAAGAGGCCAAATCTGGCAATGGCAATCGCTGCAACAAGGGCGGTCGGAGCTTGCTCGCTACCGTGGCAATCTGGCGAGAGCAACCAGTGGAGGTGTTTGGGGGGTCCACTTCCAGCGTCTCAGGTTTGGTGAGTGAAGGCTTCAGGTGGTTCAGGTGTACATCTCTACCATCTAATTTAGTTAGAGCTGGGATATGCTACACACGATTCGCACTGAGATTCTCCATGTTTGAAGGGTGCAGCGCAGCTGGCACAGCTCGCTTGACATTTGCAGGCTGATGTTGCCTCTACCTCCTCCCAGCACGCATGCTTGCATTTACAACTGTCTGCAGTCTTTTTACATCTTTTCAGACTACATGGGAGGTGCAGTTGAGATCCTCGTGACTTGAACATCTTCCAGCCTCACAGTTGTTCTCAGCCAAGGCCAGCAAGATTTCTGCAGCCATGCTGCCCTCGGCATAGGTAATGCCGCGCATCTCCACACCTGGGAATGCTGGTCTCTTAGTGGGTTCTTCAGGGAGTTCATTCACGATGTTAGTTTTGGGCAGAAGTGGATGCATTTGGCAGTCTTCCATCGCATCTATTTGCAAGAGTTTCGAGTTAGTGCAGCGGGGTGGCTGCGTGGGTTCCACTGGAGGTGGTGGAAAACTAGGATTTCTGGTGGTATCAAACGGGTATCCGGGTGTCTTTAGTGCTCGTTGGAAACTGAGGGGGCCGCTTTGTTGTTGTTGTCGTTGTTGTCGCTGTTGCCGTTGTTGTCATTGTTGTCGTTGTGGTTGTGGATGTGGATGCGGTTGTTGTTGTGGTTGTGGTTTGTGGATGTTGCTGTTGTCGTTGGTGTTGTCGTTGTGGTTATTCTTGTTGTTGTTGCTGTTGTTGACCTGTTGTTGCTGAAATGTTGTTGTTGTTGTCGTCGTAGTCGTTGTCGTTGTCCCTGTTGTTTCGATTGTTGTTGATGGTGATCACTATTATATAGTATTGTTTTCCTGGTAGTTTATGTATATATCTAAATTTATATGTAATTATAGTTAATTAGTGTTCTTACCGCAGTGGCTTTATTCTTATTGTGTTTGCCATCGCTCTTGGCATTCCTATTTTTTACAAAGGCTTGTCAGTGATGCCGCCACTATTTATGTGTGTTCTTGCTGTCTTGCTGTAGCCTGGCGACTTGCAACTTAAAAGGGGGTTCTCATTGTTGCTGTCATAATGTTTGTCGTTGCCGTGGAGACTTGTCATTGATCTCAGACCTGGACACTGTCGTTGCGGGTTGTTCATTGTCGTCATACATGTCTTGTCGCGGCTTTGCTGATTGTGGCTCGCTAGTGCTCTTGTCTGGTAGCTCGTCGCCAATCTTCTTCACTATTATGTAATTAATGTACCGTCCCCTTGCTTTGGAGCATTCTTCATGTTTTCTCATTGTAGGTCACCGTGGTTGTTGTTGCTGTCATCGGTTGTTGATGTTGTCAATTGCTTCTCCTGACTCGAGATGTTAAACAGTGCTTGTTGCCTATTCTTGTTGAAGGGCACCAATGCACTCCGCCCTGACGCGTGGATTGCTCTGACGACCGACTGGTCCCTTCGCCCTTCGCCGATGGCACCTGCCAGCGCTTCGACGATGGGCCGCGCTGACTTCGGGAGCCTCAGGCGTGGCCACGTGAGGTTCCAAGAAAGCTCGCTAAAATTCAGCGCCCTTCATTGCACAGGCGTCTTGGGACAGTGAAGTTCTTGACAGAACTGCCAAAACCTGTTCATCGGCAATTCATGGTCATTCGAAACGATAGCCGATAGCCGTTGTCTGCGTGAGTAGCTTAGTCTAGCCATGTCTAGCCCCTTTGCAACCGCACGACTGGCCCAGCTCTGAGGACTGGGCTTAGCAGCAGCACGTAGCGGCTGCAGGAGCACCCCTGGTTTCTGGCTCCTCGGGACACAAAAATAGGAAGTAAGAACGGCCCATCAACAGCGAGGCATCCTACTCACTGGAGTGAAGGAATGTGCTGTCGGGTGAGGTCAAAGCTAGGACACTTAAAGAGTATATAGCCAACATCACGATGCGGAGATCGGAGATAATTACATAGGCTGGCTGGTTAAGTTTCATCAATGTCCTTCACAGTTGGCAGCGTGAGCGTGAACTGGAATCTAGCTGCGCTCCGATTTTCTTTGGCCAAAGCCGTCCGGAGAAAAGTTGCAAAAAACGACGACATGATGCCGTCATTCCCTATGCACCCAAAAAGTTGGGTCTAGCCTCGAGCCACAGAATGCAATCTTTCCCATGTGCTGAATACACCATCTGTCATCATCTGTCCAAACACATTAGTGGGGCGAGGCAGTCGAGATGTTTCTCAGGCGGCTTTTGCTACCTTAACGCTGCGCCTCCTCAAGAGCCTTGCGGATGCGATCCACGGAATCCTGCTCCTGGCCAGGAAATACGATTAAGCATGCTTTAGGCTTAAGCATGAGCTATCGAACTACAGATCTACAGTATCCATGTTTCAGCTTTTGTCTATATGAATAAAGTCTATATATAGGCACTTCTATAGGCCTATAATGGCCTATAGGGCGCAAATCTATGATGCCCGGGCAAACTAGTCCCTCGCTCCCTGGCCTCGGCGAGTTCGGCTTCCTGTCCCTTGGCCCAGCTCTTCAAGTTCTCCTTCACATCCTTGCCGGCCTGCTCGTACTCCTTGTTCCAAACATCGAAGGCCTTCTTAGCATCTTCTTCCTT